GTAAGGTCTGCACGTTGGCATAGGTCCCCCTGAGTGTGGTAACTGGTACGAGTATTGTCCGATTTGCAGCGCTGGCTTGTAGCCTTGAATGAAAAAATCACAGACTAAACCTCATATGGGATCAGTCGCACCACTTTCACCTGTGCCAAATTCTTTCCAAGGCGCTTCCGTAAGCGCAGGCAGCAGACCTGCATTGTTCGGGAAAAAATGAAGCAAGTCTCACTGTGAGTCTCACTGTGAGTCTCACTGTGAGGCTCACTGTGTCACAGCTTGGAGCTGCAGCTGCCTCATGGAATGGTCCGCAACATAGCTCACTCCAGACATGTTCTGTGTCAGCATTGTCAGAGTCTTTCTCTGCGCTTCTTTCTAAGCCGACAGAACAAATTGCTTGAACGCGCTGTTGAGCCGGAAGCTGCTGGATTTGTTTCGTCAGCTCCAACGTTGTCACTGCTACAGCTCCAAGCATGATACAAGCACTCTGCATGCTCGGACATGATTGCTGTAGCTTCTTTCACAGCTGAAGCAAGTTGACTCTAGAAGTGTCGACGCTCATTGGCACAGGGACAGGGCGACATTAGCACCCAACTTGGGATCATTAACGGCAGGAAAACCCTGCTCACGACTATTTGGCTGAACTTCGCTTTGAGTTTTTCAGCCAAATGCAATCAATGCCTATATATTACATATATTACATATAGTATGGCTCAAATTGATCAGCGCTCAACGAATCAACACAAGAATCCTGACCCGATTGTCTTACACTAAAATGTTGGCCCCAAATTGGACTGTCTGAAAGTGGGGATACTCCAAATGGCCATGGTCATGGGAAAATGATATTATTTACAGTATGTTCTTTCGGGTGGTACCCTATTTTCAGATATTTTCAGAAAAAAACAAATGATTTAAATTTAACACTGAACATGACCAGTTCTGTGGGTCAGTAGGCATCACAACTTTGAGCCGCAGACAAATACATTACAGTACGGGACATGTGAGACATGTCCAGTCCATGGAGTCATATTGAGTCCACGGAGGCACACATGGAGTTCTTCACTTGCTCAGAACTCGCCCTTGGCATCCTGGGAACCAACCCAAAGCCAAGCTTTGTTTGGACCGAAGACATTGAAGACAGCTTTGAACAACGCGAGTTTATAGAAGGCATGTGTAAGGTGCATTCCAGCACTCGCATACAGTATACACTTGTGACATACTGCAGCTTTGTGACATGCAAACATTGGCTGGGAACGCATAGCGTGGCATAGAAGTAAGCCCCTGGCAGCAGGCCAACGGGGCTGGCACCAAAAGTTCCAGCAGTTTGTGAATCTCCCGTTGTCAAAAGGGTTCCTGGCAAGCTCTGATGTGCCCATTGCGAATCAATGAGGGATGCTTCAAGTGGAAAAAACTTGACAGAGACTGGACTGTGATGCTGCTGTCAAGTCCTGGTGCGATCATACACAAAAGCATCGCGGTCGAAGATGTCGTTGTATCTGGCCAGGCCAGTCTGTGGATTCGAGTGAAGTGAATCAAAAATGTTTCACGGTCTCGACGTCTTTGCATTTCCTGATCTGTCATCCTTCAAGCCGAAATTCGGAAGGTGCAAAAACTGTTCTTTCTGCACGGGTCCGATGCAAACAAACAGTATGCCACACACTGCAATATCTCCAACAAGCAGGTGCCTAGACTAGACTCCAAAGATCTCGGAACTCCGAAATCATGGAAATGAAAAATAAAGACCTGGAAAATCACAGGAATAGTGTTTTAAGATGTTTTAAGAAAGGATGACTGAAAACAAGGTCAACATGCAGGAGCTACTCGTCATCATCCAGTTCTTCCACAGGAATGTTGTCACCAATGGTGGTGTTGTTGGCCTAGCAGGACCCGAAATGAACACACTTAGAAGGTAACAATATGATTGAACCAATAAAATGGTGATAGTAATATATATATATATACATGTATATATATATATATGTATATATATATATATGCGTGTGTGTGTACGATGTTTGATATGATATGTCATGCATGATGCATGATGATGTATTATGTATGGTGTATGATATGTGATAAATGATGTATGATAATATAGGTGTGTATATATAAGTGTCAGTACATAGAAATATTAATATTATATATAATGTATGATGATGTGTTATGTATGTTGTATGATGTTGTATGATCGAAGGAAGTTTAGAAGTCAAACTTCCGACAATATGGACAGATGAAAAGCAGAGC